TTCTGCGGTTGTAGAACGGACCGCAGAAATGCCTACTTCTGCCCGACATTTTCCTTCAACTCCCCAGCCCACTGTTCAATCCAAAAAGTCTGAACTCCGAGTTTTTAGGAGAAATTTTACGGGGCCTTACATCCTCCCTCACTTAAGATCATTCATCCTCGAATGAAGATCAGGGTCCATTATTAGCACCATATACAACTGAGTTTTTCATACCCCAGACCAGCAGCCCCAAATTTAACTAACTCCCCAAATTTTCCAAAACTTTCTCCAGAGTTTCCTTTGTAACTAGGCCTACCCACCTGTCAGAGAGCCCCAGAATCACTTCCTAAAAACATGTACACAATCCAACGATGTGACATAACTCATAACAATACCATCAGTGGCCTCATGTAAACAACATATAATCAAAAAGAACACCTTTACATTAACTGAACAAGTGATACAAAATTCATAGGCAACAAGTTCATAAAAAGGATTACACAGCTATTCAAACAAGTAAGGACACTTCTTCTTCATCTCTTCCTCGGCCTCCCAAGTTGCCTCTTCAACCTGCTGGTTTTGCCATAACAATTTCACGGAGGCAATTTCTTTATTTCTCAACCTTCGGACTTGTCTGTCAAGAATGGCAACTGAAATTTCTTCATGTGACAATTCTTAATTAACCTCAAGGTTTTCAATCGGCACAATAGCTAACGGATCTCCAACTACCTTCTTCAACATAGACACATGGAATATAGGGTGAACTAATGACATCTCAGGTGGTAGCTCAAGCTTGTACGCCACCTGACCGATCCTTTGGATGATTTTGTACGCCCCGACATACCTCAGACTCAATTTTCCTTTCTTTCCGAATAGAATTATACCCTTCATGGAGGAAACCTTCAGAAATACCCAATCATCTTCTTTGAACTCCAAGTCTCTGCGACGAACATCCGAATAGGAATTTTTACGACTCTGATCAGTTCTCAACCATTCCTTAATGATTCTAAAGTTTTCCATAGCCTGATGCACGAGGTCTGGCCATATCAACTCAGCTTCCCCAACTTCAAACCACCTAATAGGAGATCTACATCTCCTACCATATAATACCTCAAATGGTGCCATCTGAATACTAGCATGAAAGCTGTTGTTATAAGCAAACTCTATGAGTGGCAAATGATCATCCCAGCTACCCTTGAAGTCAAGAACACAAGTACAAAACATGTCCTCGAGTGTCGGAATAGTCCGTTCTGCCTGCCCGTCGGTCTTTGGATGAAAGGTTGTACTAAGATTTATCGAAGTACCAAACCTTGCTGAAATTTCTTCCAAAAATTGGCCATGAACTGAGCCCCTCGATCGTAGATGATAGAAACCGGAGTGCCATGCCGCCTGAATATTTCCTTGATATACAACTGAATATTACATTCCGCTGTGTTGGTAGATTTAACTGGCAAGAAATGTGCTGATTTTGTGAGTCGGTCCACGATCACCCAAATTGCGTCAAACTTGCACGGAGTGCGCGGTAACCCTACCACGAAGTCCATATTAATCATTTTCCACTTTCACATTGGAATTTCTATGTTTTGTGCCAACCCACCAGGTCGTTGATATTCGGCCTTTACTTGCTGATAGTTCAGACACCTTGCCACAAAGTCCTCCACATTCCTTTTCATGTCATTCCACCAATAGACTTCCTTGAGATCGTGATACATCTTTGTAGAATCTGGATGCACGGAATACCTAAAAGCGTCAGCCTCGGTCATGATTCTTTCCCGGAGACCATCTACAATCGAAACAGATAGTCGCCCTTGGTACCTTAGTGTACCATCATCCATGCCAAGCGCAAAAGCCATAGTTTTATGTTTTTGAATCCCCTCCTTCAAGTGTACCAAAAATGGATCGTTGTATTGATTCTCTTTGACTTCCACAACAAGCGAAGATTCAGCCCTATTTTGCACAATTACCCTTCCTTCACTTGAGTCCGCAAGACGAACTCCCAAACTGGCTAGCTGGTAAACCTCCCTGGCCAACGGCCTTTGACATGCCTCCAAGTGAGCCAAACTACCCTTAGATTTCCGGCTAAGAGCATCCGCCACCACATTGGCTTTCCCCGGGTGATATAGAATATCGATGCCGTAATCCTTGAGTAACTCAAGCCATCTTCTTTGCCTCAGATTCGACTCCTTTTATTTGAAAATATATTGAAGACTCTTATGGTCCGTGAATACATCCACATGGACCCCATACAAATAATGACGCCAAATTTTCAATGCATAAACCATCGCCGTAAGTTTCAAGTCATGAGTTGGATAGTTCTTTTTATGATTCTTGAGTTGCCTAGAAGCATAAGGTATAACCTTGCCGTGTTGCATTAATAAACACCCAAGCCCAATTCTTGAAGCATCACAATATACCACAAATCCATCTGTACGCTCTGACAGGGTCAACACCAGAGCTGTAGTCAATCTCGATTTCAACTCCTAGAAGCTCCTTTCACAAGCATTGGATCATTGGAACTTAACTGCTTTCTGAGTCAATTTAGTCAACAGAGAGGCAAGACTAGAGAACCCCTCCACAAACTTCCTGTAATACCCTGCTAAGCCCAAGAAAAAGCGAATCGCGGTTGGCGTTGTAAGTCTAAGCCAATTCTTTACTGCTAAAATCTTTTAGGGATCAACCTTAATTCCTTCTCTAAAGACAACATGACCCAATAATGTGATAGATTCGAGCCAAAATTCAGACTTTGAAAACTTCGCATACAATTGATGCTGATGAAGAGTCTGCAAAACTGCCCTGAGATGATCGGCATGGTCCTCTCGACCTTATGAATACACAAGAATATCGTCAATGAATACTATCACAAAGGAGTCGAGGAAAGGCTTGAAAACCTGATTCATAAGATCCATGAAAGTCGTCGGGGCATTTGTTAGCCCAAAAGACATTACCAGAAATTCAAAGTGCCCATATCGGGTTCTGAAAGTTATTTTCCGAATATTCTGCTCCCGGATCTTCAATTGGTGATACCCGGATCGTAAATCAATTTTGGAGAAGTATCTAGAACCATGTAACTGATCAAACAAATCATCTATTCTTGGTAACGCGTACTTATTTTTTATTGTGACTTTGTTGATCTACCGGTAGTGAATACACATCATCAGTGATCCATCTTTCTTCCTCACAAAGAGGACCAGTATGCCCCATGGTGACACACTCGGTCGGATGAAACCCTTTTCTAACAAATCCTTCAATTGCTCCTTTAATTCCTTCAATTCTGTTGGTACCATCCTGTAGGGCAGAATAGATATAGGCTACGTGCATGGCATTACATCAATCCCAAAATCAATCTCCCTATCTGGCGGAATCCTAGGGAGTTCATCAGGAAAGACCTCTGGAAATCCATCCACAACTGGCACAAATTTGAGTGTAGGTGCCTCAGCAGTGGTGTCCGTAACTCGGACCAAGTGATAGATATATCCCTTGTTAATCATCTTCGTGGCCTTAAGGTAAGAAATAAACCTACCCTTCAGCACCACATTATCCCCCTTTCACTCAACAACTGGCTCATTAGGAAATTCAAATCTCACAGTCCTAGTCCGGCAATCGAGCTTCGCAAAACATGAATAAAGCCAATCCCTTCCCATAATTACATCAAAATCAAACATCCCCAATTCAATGAGATCGTCCACGGTGTCCTGACCGCGCACCGTGACAACATAACCCCTATAAACTCGTGCGGCTACAATAGACTCGCCAACCGGAGTAGATACAGAGAATGACTCAAGAAGTTGTTCCGGTTCTATCCCAAATTCTATAGCAACAAAAGGGGTAACATAGGACAAGGTGGATCTGGGATCAATAAGAGCATATACATCATGAGATTGGATAGTCAATATACTTGTGACAACATTTGGAGAAGCCTCTGCACTCTGGCGACCACTCACAACATAGAAACGGTTGGGTCCTCCTGAACTCCGCGCACCACCCCTAGCTGCACCACGCCCTGCTGGTGCTGGACTGCCTCGAGCTAGAGGAGGTGTTGAAGATGTGGCAGCTGCAGAACTGGATGGCTGTGTTGTGCCCCTGCCCACACCCTGGCAGGATGAATGACACTCCCTTTGAATATAACCCTTCAATCCGCATCCATAACATATAGGTAGGTCCATATAGCAGATCCCCAAGTGCATCTTCCTACACCTGGGACATGGGGGCCTCCGCTGCTGCTGGAATCTCCCTTATGATCGACCCTGCTGGTGGGGTCCCCTGCTGCCCTGATTGGCCGTGAAACAACTCCCCTTCTGCTAACTGGGCCCTGACCGTCCCCTAAAAGCTGACCTTCCCCCACCAAATGACTACCCAAAGTTTTTCGCGGACCGGGCCTTGCTGGTACCCTCTCGCTCCATTCTGTTCTTTAACTTACGGTTCTCTGTAGCTTGAGCAAATGCTACCATCTTCCCATATTTCATATCTAAATTCAAAGCAGTTGTAGCGGCCTCATTGATAACCAAGGGGCTAAGGCCCTGCACGAACTGGCGCACTCTAGCCTCCATAGTAGGCAACATGAGAATGGCATATTTAGACAGATGCGCGAACTCCATGTGATACTCCCACACACTCTTACTTCCTTGCTTAAGGTTCTCAAACTCCACGGCATGAGCTTCCCTAGTCTCGGCCAGCAAGAAATGGTCCACGAAAGCATCAGCAAACTCATTCCACCTCGCTGGAGGGCTCCCCTCCTCCCGAGAGTCCTCCCACAGCTCAAACCAAGAATAGGCCACCACTTTCAGGCAGTAGGCGGCCAACTCCACCCCCTCTATCTCAGTAGCAGGCATAACCTAAAGAGTCTTATATATCTCATCAATGAAGTCGTGTGGGTCCTCCTCGGGATTAGCACCCGTGAACACCGGAGGATCCAACTGAAGAAACTTGTTCACCCTGGAACCACTAAAATTCCCTTGTTGGCTAGAAGAAGTGGGTGCAAAATTTAATCTCTAGGATTGAGAAGCCACTATCTGTGTCAACATCTAGATAGCTCCCCTCAGATCCACATTAGAAACACCAGAATCGGAAGCTGGAGCTAGTGGTGGAACCGGAATATCAGTTGGAGGAACCGTTGCGCCCTCAGTAGGTACAGGAACTAGTGTGGCCTGGTCAGGTGTAGTGGAATCAGGCAATGTAGCAGTCTGGGGATTATTCTCACCCCTTGGGTGTTCACCCACCTCACCAAATAAAGGGTCAACTGCCACTCCTAAGGCGACATTGGCTCCTTGGCCAGTTCTTGATCTCTTCTTAGGTGCCATGTACTTAAAGTTAAAGGAATGCACGAGTTAGAGGAGGAACAGTTTCACAATCAGTTTCATCGCACGATCCAGAATATCAAACAAGAGTATTATTCCTAAATGTCCAAGTAGCCTCCGACTTATAGATATAGTCGACAACATACCGATAAGAAGGACTCTACTAGACACAGCTCTGAGATATCCTAGGACACTTTAAAACCTTAGGCTCTAATACCAAGTTTGTCATGCTCGAACCTCGGGAAGCACGGCCGGAGCTCAACCGAGTGAATCCGGTCGAGCAAGCCTGTTAGATACCTTCTACCCAACTCACCCATGATCAAGAAAAGACATGATTTCATTGAATAGACAGTAGAAAGTTCATACATACAACATTAAGCTGTTTCATGAGTTACTACACTATTAAGTCTCAAAATACACAACATGACTTGTTTGACTTTTCGAGCACTCGTGTACAACCCATATAGTGTCTACGGAGCCTCTAAAAGATACAAAAGAGTGTTATGATTATGCCAGCAATAAGGCCCCGGCTATACCTTGAGACATGATAATAATAGGAACAAAAGATACAATACGTGACCCCTGGATGAAGTGGGGCTCACCAAGTCTGCTGGGAAGAGGATGTGCCACTAGTGCTGATCAACACTACCTGCTATGTAACCACCTGCATCCATTTAAATATGTAGCGCCCCCGGCAAAAGGGATGTTAGTACCGTCGAATAGCACTAGTATGTATAGCTAAACACCATCTCAATAGAGTAAATAATAATACAAGGGAAACAATCAAGAATTCAATACGAGCTTCAAATAACATTAAAACATCAAGCTTAGGATCACATAAGTTTTCAAGTCATTTTCAATGTTATTAGGTTGGGTGATCTTTAGTGTCGATATTTCACAATTCACAATACCACCTTATTCTTACACGGAGTCTGATCACAACCTGATCGGCTAGGTCGTCTCACTTGAGATATCAACTATAACAACAATTTTAATTATCATTTTCAACACAGTCACCACCATATGTGTGGCATGGCGTTCGATCACGGCCCGATCGGCTAGACCATCTCACCCAAGACGTTACCTTTTTCAGTCAATCATCTCACATCATACTTCTTTCATATCGTTTCGATTCATTGGGACTAGTAATCATAATTACAAAGTCATTCTTGGCACTTGGCCATATTTCATAGTTCCAGTTCCCTTTTCCGCATTCAAATATCATTATCATTATCAATTTGGGAAATCTTAGGCACATATAGGCTTTTCATATGATTTGGCATAACAACCTTTATTTCGATCTTGATATGAAGTCTTACAATTTCTAACACATATTTCACATTTTTGAACACATCCTCAAATGGCAAGATGACATGATGAAGCATTTAGAATAAATATTGAACATACATCCTTCAACACAACCACATTTAGGAATAACCAATTCAATAGTGATCAAGGACTTACTCCAATTACATGAACACCGTGGGATTTGATTCTAAGAAGAAGGGGGTTTAGCCAACATACCTCAATTGATATTCTTAAACTCTAAAATGATCTGGAACCCGTAGCAACTTCAATCTATTTTAGAAATATAACAAGTTGAACCAAAATTAGGAAGATGAATATGGTTTTAGCTCATTTGAGCATATTATCAAACACTAGGTGTGTATTAAGATTCCATGGCCCTTTTATGAAAGACTTTACCATCCCACACCCCATTATTTTCTATCTTTAACTCACAACCTCCCCACGTACCCTAAGAATACATGCACGCAAGGTAAGCACTCCCATCCCCATGAACTACCTTACAAATTGCTCATTCTAGTTACATTTCAAAATTAAGAGCTTGGTGATAGAACCTTACCTCATAGGATGAAGACCTAGGGTGCTTCTCTTGATAATCTTCAAAGGTTTATGCAAGAATTGAAGAGTAACTTGATGAAGATCATTTTCTCCCTCTAGGACTTTCTCTCTCACTCTAGAGTATCAAACTTTGCTCAAACATGGCCCCTTACATCTATTTTAACGAAGTAGGGTCAGATTTTAAAACCCCAAAAATGAAGCTACGAAACAGGTTCTACAGTCGCATATGCAACCGCATAATGGTTATGCGGTCCGCGAAATGACCGTGAAATTGGGGTGCCAAAACTGGAGAGGAACTGACCAGGTCTGCGGTCGCATAATGCACCGCAGAACAGTTCTGCGGTCGCATAGTGCACCGCAAAACCTCCCTCCAAAAAATCCCAAGGCGGGATATACGAGAAGAGAGTGGCCCGCGAAATGGTTATGCGGTCGCATAATTGGCCGCAAAATGACATTAAAATGGCCCAGAAGTCTGCTCCACTCTGCGGCCATTCTGCGGTCTGCAGAGTTGTTTTGCGGTCGCAGAACGGATCGCAGAAATGCCTACTTCTGCCCAACATTTTCCTTCATCTCCCCAGCGCACTCTTCAATCCAAAAAGTCCAAACCGCGGTGAGCTTGAGAAGAATTTCTACTATAATTAACCTCTAAACCTACTTCAGCATCACGGAAATTCGGGTTTTTAGGAAAAAGTTTACGGGGCCTTACAGAGGCGGTGCCTCGGGAGATCCCCTATTTTGCATATTTACTTTGGGACTACGAGGAGTTTACTCGGGAGATCTCCCATGTCTTGCATATTTACTTTGGGACTACGAGGCATTTACTCGGGAGATCCTCTTGTCTTGAATATTTACTTTGGGACTACGAGGCATTTACTCGGGAGATCCTCTTGTCTTGAATATTTACTTTGGGACTACGAGGCGCTTACTCGAGAGATTCCCCCTGTCTTGCATGTTTACTTTGGGACTACGAGGCGTTGACTTAGGATATCCCCCATGTCTTGCATATTTACTTTGAGACTACATGGCGTTTACTCGGGAGATCCCTCATGTCTTGCATATTTACTTTGAGACTACATGGCGTTTACTCGGGAGATCCCTCATGTCTTGCATATTTACTTTGGGACTACGAGACGGTACCTCGGGAGATCCCCCCTGTCGTGCATATTTTTATTTGGGACTACGAGGCGGTACCTCGGGAGCGCCCCTGTTGTTTACCTCTATTTGTTGTGCAGTTATTTTATGATACTTCTCGTTGTTTAAATTCTCAGTCATTTCAAAATATTATTATATCTTCGGCCTTGCCTATCTTTTAAACCAGTAGGGCCGTGACCTTACCTCGTCACTACTCTACCTAAGTTAGGCTCTGCACTTACTGGATACCATTGTGGTGTACTCAGACTACACTTTTGCATATTTTTTGTGCAGATCCAGGTTCTTCCCACCATACCAGATACCAGTGAGTTGGACCGCACGTGGAGACTTCAAGGTATATCTGCCAGCGTCCGCAGACCCTCAGAATCCCCTTCTATCTTTATTATGTTGTTTTCCCTTATTCTCTTTAGACTTGATGTATAGAGACATTTAGTATTCTCTTAGAAGCTTGTGACTTATTTCTACCGGATTTTGGGAGTTGTAATTATTAAATCGCAGTTTCTATTTATATATCATGTGTTGAGATTGGAGTTCAGTTTACTATTCAGTTATTCCGTAAATTGTTAGGCTTACCTATTCTTAGAGACTAGGTGCCATCCCTACATCTTACGGAGGGAAATCGGGGTCGTGACAGTATAAGTGGCATGCTACGGTGTATGTTTGTGCGAGTGTATTATTGTAGCCCAAGTCAACAAGTAATATCAAAGATATCGAGTAGCTCATCGAAGCAACACATCAAATCACATAAGGTGTATGACATACACAAGGAAAAGCACACCATCACACGAATATCACCAACAAAATATCCCCAAGCCATCACACATCATCCCAGACATTGCCACCCTTATCTCTCTGATAGCCACCCGCATCACTCCGCCTTGCCAATATTATTAGCCACCCATATCACTTTGTATGATAGCCACCCTTATCGATCCGCTCAGACAATAACACAATAGCCACCCATATCACTTCATACATTCAACAACAGTGAGATACCACCCTTATGCCCCGCATAACAACAACGTTGAAATGCCACCCTTATACTCTGCATAAAAACAACCAAACCACACAACAATTCACACGTGCTAACAATCACAACAACACGACATATCAACTCGTACCACAAGTACGCATAGGCCACAACCATTTCATAATTCCAACAATATCAATATTTCCATAATAAATTGCCCACTACTCAAACACAATGAAAGAGATCACATAATGATAGAAACAACAAAATGAACGGGAAAGTAACTCAACCAGGAACAACACCCCCTTTTAAACATAACTTCAATTAAAATAGATTAATGACTTAAACCTCAAGTCCAATTGATTTTTTTAAGGATAAACTCGATAATGAAAGTATTTCCATGAAATGGAAAACTTCAGATTCTAGTGTATGAATTAGGCTAACAATGAAAGATAGGGCACGAACCAGTACTATGTCTAAATGCATGAGAATAACCCGGCAACAAAAGGGTTTCATGTAACAACAATTTCAACTAAGAGTAGCTCAACAATAAAAGAGATCACATAATGATAAAGGTGGTAACAATTTCAAATAAAGCATATAGGAGCAAACTCGACAAGTAAAGGATGTGACATGTAACAACAACTTCAAATAAAGCATGTAATAGTAGACATGGTGAATAAAAAATATAACATATGCTAACAATTCCAAATAAATACATGAAAGAAGCCTAAGAGTCTAAACCGGTCAATTTTCACAACTAAGCCCGAGTACGTACTCCTCACCTCGCGTACACGGCTTTAACATGACACAAATAGCACAAACAACTCAAATCCTATGAGGTAGTTCCCCCACACAAAGTTAG